TGAGCACATCTTACTTTTGCACAACATTTACGGGCAGCTAGTGTCATAAATTTTCGAGTCCAAAATGATATATGATTGTATGTAAGAGTTTTCAGATAGGAAGTGTGTTTACAAATGCAGAGTGCAAATCATGCTAATTTTAGTTCTTCTTTTCCTATCCATATCCCTTTATTTCCTCTAATTGTTCTGACTAGTATTTCAAGAACTATGTTAAATAGAAGTGGTAAAAGAGAGCATCCCTATCTTATTCTAGTTTTTACAGGGAATGCTTTCAATTTTTCTCCATTTAGAATGATGTTGGCCTAGGGCTTAGCATAGATAGCTATATTTTTGATATGATTCTGTATTTAATTTGCCAGTATTTTATTGAGAAATTTTGCATCTATGCAAGAATATAAAATCAATACCCATTAATCAAAGGCATTTCTATACATCAGTGACAAATCCTCTGAAAGAGAAACAAGGAAAATTACCCCATTTACAATAGCCTCAAAAAAGATAAAATACTTAGAAATCAACTTGACAAAAGAAGTAAAAGACCTCTAAAGTGAAAATTATAGAACACTAAAGAAAGAAAATAAAGAACATCTAAGAAGATGGAAAGATCTCCCTTGTTCTTGGATATTCAGAATTAAAATTGTCAAAATTACTGTACTACTAAAAGCACTATATAGATTTAATGCAATTCCAATCAAAATACCAATGATATTTCTCATAGAAATAGAAAAAAATAGTCATGAAATTCATTTGAAAAATAAGAGACCAAAAATTGCGAAAGAAATCCTTAGTAAAAAAAGTGAAGTAGGTATCATCACTATATCAGACCTTAAACTATACCACAGAGCAATATTAACAAAAACAGCATGATATTGGCATCAACATAGACTTGTAGACCAATGGTACAGAACAGAGAAAAAGAGACAAACCCCCATAAACATATATTAGACAAAGGCATCAAAAACATATATTGGAGAAAAGATAGCCTCTTCAACAAATGGTGCTGGGAAAACTGGAAATCCATATGCAACAAATTATTCCCCTCTCACCATGCATAAAATTCAATTCAAAGTGGATCAAAGGCCTAGGAATTAAACCAGAGGCCCTACACCTAATAGAAGAAACAGTAGGCCCAAATCTCCATCATATTGGATTAGACCCCAACTTCCTTAATCAGACTCCTATAGCACAAGAATTAAAATCAAGAATCAATATAAATGGGATAGATTCAAACTAAAAAGCTTCTTCTCTGCAAAAGAAACAATCAGTGAGGTGAATAGAGAGCCTACAGAATGGGAGAAAATTTTTACTACATGCACATCAGATAGAATACTAATCTCTAGGATATATAAAGAAGTAAAAAATCTTAACACCCCAAAAACCCAAATGAACCAATCAATAAATGGGCCAAGGAACTGAACAGACACTTCTCAGAAGATGAAATACAATCAATCAACAAATATGAAAAATGTTCAAAATCTCTAGTAATTAGAAAAATGCAAATCAAAACCGCTCTAAAATTTCATCTAACTACAGTCAGAATAGCAGCTATTAAATTTCATCTAACTATAGTCAGAATAGCAGCTATTAAGTATACAAACAACAGGGCCATGGCTGTAGCTCAGTGGTAGACCACCTGCCTTGCATACGTGAGGCACTGGGTTTGATCCTCAGCACCACATAAAAATAAATACATAAAGATACTGGATCTATCTACAATTAAAAAAATACAAACAACAATAAGTGTTGGCAAGTATGTGGGGAAAAAGGCAATCATACATTGCTGGTGGAATTGCAAATTGATGCATCCAAAAGTGAAAGCAATATTGAGATTCCTTGGAAAACTGGGGATAGAACCACCATTTGACCCAGCTATCTCACTCCTCAGTCAATACCCAAAGGACTTAAAATCAGCATACTACAGGGACACAGCCACATCAATGTTTATAGCAGCACAATTCACAGTAGCTAAATTGTGAGACCAATATAGATATCCTTCAGTAGATGAATGAATAAAGAAAATGTGGTAAATATACACAATGAAATATTACTCAGCATTAAAAGAGAAGAAAATTATGGCATTTGCAGGTAAATGGATGGAGTTGGAGAATATAATGGTAGGTGAAGTAAGTCAATCTCCAAAAAACTAAATGCAGAATGCTCTCTGATATAAGGATGCTGTTTCATAATGGGGATGGGGTGCGCAGCATGGGAGGAATAGATAAACTTTAGATAGGGCAAAGGGGAGGGAGGTGAATGGAGAGGGCATAGGAGTAGGAAGATGGTGGAATGAGATGGACATCATTACCCTAATTACATGTATGAAAACATGAGTGGTGCCATTCTACTTTGTGCACAACCAGAGACATGAAAATTTTGGCTCTATTTGTGTAATATGAATTGAGTTGCATTCTGCTGTCCTATATAACAAATTAGAATAAATAAAATAAAATAAAGAAAGAAAAAAGAAAGCAGAGTGCAATAAATGCCTCTAGGTTTGGGCTGGGAGCCTTCACAGGGATGTTTACACTTCAAAGGAGAGTAGTTAGATCCTAGGGAAAATCCTTTACAATAGAAAAATATAAGAGTGAATGGTGCTAATTAGGTTCCCTGAAAACCAGCTGGTGGGGGAAATGGGAGCAGAACCCTCCCTTTCCCAAGCACTACTTTTTCAGTGTCTTTGGTATTCAGGGCTGGGTTAGTTACCCATTCCAGTAAAAGAAGAAAAAATACTTTATTATATAGACTACTTCAAACTGGGAGCCTCTGAGCTTCCCTCTCCCTACACACTGGGTATAAAGTTCTAAAGAATTCTGGACTTGGGGTTCAGATGGACAAATGAATTTAGGTGAAAGCCCCCACTATGGAGTTAGCAGCAGCCAATAAACCTGCTTCCTGCTAATTCCTCACTATCTAGCCTCAACTGTCCAACTTCATGACCAGTGGAAGCAGGTGTGAACACTCTCTGGGACTAAGCCTGGGAAGGCTGTGTTGGTGGGCAGCAGAGGGGGTAGAGGACTGGCTCCCTCATCCCATATGTGGAATGCTTGGGAGGCTCCTGATATCCAAACTCCCAGCAGAGAGCAGCAACTGCCAGGCCCTAGGGGTGTGCTGATCTAATCTCCCCCAGAACAGACACCACCCAGCAAAGCCCCTGAGGCATGTTTAGTAGTAAGCACCACACATGGAACACCCCTCATCGAAATCTGCCACAGCCCCACCCTGGCAGTACATGGAGATGGTCGGTCTGTGTGTACAAAATGCCAAAGAACAGTTCTTCCCACTATCTCTACATCACACTAATTATATGGAAAGAAGAGAGTCATCAGAACCAGCTTCAGTGGAAGACCACTCCAACTAGAAGCTCCTTGGCCAACACAAAAACAACGGGCCATTCAAAGGTGGTAAAAAGTCCAAGAAATGGAAAGAAAACCCTTGGGAACAGGCATTGATAATCCATATTTCCTGCACAATTTTAACTACCTTGAATATTTTTCCTTCTTTTTTTCTTGGTGTTCCTGCTATACTGATTGGTTCATAGTATATATACATACACATACATACTTCTTTTTTCTCATCTTTAGCATTTTCCTTTTTTATTTTTATTTGTTATATGACAGAATGCTTTACAATTCATATTACACATTTAGAACGCAATTTTTCATATCTCTGGTTGTACACAAAGTAGAGTCACATCATTCGTGTCTTCATACATGTACATAGGGTAAATCTTTAGCATATTTTTTTTGAAAATTATTTTTTAGCAACTTTGTTTTGTTTATTGACTTTTATGTGGTGCTGACGATGGAACCCAGGGCCTCAAGAGAACTAGGCGAGCCCTCTACAGCCACAACCCCAGCCCCAAATCTCTAACATTTTTAAGAGTTATTTTTCCTTGCTTTGTTTGAGGGTTATGATATTTTATTTTTGTTTTGTTTTTGTTTACTTGTTTCTTGTTTTTCTCTCTCTTCCTCCTTCTCCCAATAACAGCTAAATTCCCTTGTTCTTTCTTCCCCCATCTTTTTTTGTATTTGCTATTTATTCTCCTGCATACTGATAACCTTCACTTGCTACATCTGTGTTCTCTCACTCACATTTTGAACATCTAAAGTTTTTTTTTACCTTCCTATCACATTTTCTTTTCTCTTAATGAACTATACTTTTATAATCTTTTAGAACTATTTGCTCCGTGTAACTGCTGCCCCCAACCATTCATGCTGTTGCACTTATTAATTATGTGGATGGCACAGTTGACACCTGCTGCTTACTATAATGCCAGTTCTTGTCCACAGCTATTTAGTGTCTTTGCTGCTGGCAATTGGTGACCTCACCATTACTGTTTCTGAGTAATTATCACTATTGATATAGGAGTAGGCATTGGGTATTTATTTCAATGCTGTATGTTCTTTGCTTCACTTGTTGCTTTTTTTCTCCCTGCCTTTTCTGTGCAAGTGCTAGGAATCTACAGACCAAGTACAAGTTCACAGGGAATAAACTCTGCCACTGAAATAAACCCAGACAAGAGACAGCTCACCTTGACCTACACCCAAATTAACTGTACACAAACTTTGTTAAAAATAATAGAAAATTCAAAATCCTAGAAGAAATAATCAGGTCCCAATTAGAAACAGCTGACAGAACTCAGTTTCCACTTATGGGCTTTCACTTCTACAGAAAATCAGACAGAAGACACTTTAGCAAGAGAAGGTCATGCCCTAAAAAAGACCCACACATAACATAAGAAGAGAAATCAATCCCAAAAGATATATAAAATCTATCCCAGGAATACATGAAATATGAATAAACAAGGTAACACAATACCTTGTAATGGCAAATTTCATCCTGTTAAAATTAACAGTCATTGACAGAGAAATAAAAGTAATGACCATGTACCTCCTAGGCCTGTTTTCCTGTGCAGTAGCACACCTGCTGCCTTCTACCTCAAAGTGTAAAGATGGAGAATTAAAGGAGAATCTCCCCCCACTCCCCCCCCACCCCCCCGCCAAGCAGTTGTTGTCCCAAGAAAACAAAGAAGAAATGGGCAGACTCACCTCTCCCCAGAAGAGGTTCTGCCAATTCTTCAGGGCATGCAACCTGTTCAGTTTGTCCTCATGCTCCAAGTGCTCATTAGGAGGGTGGAAGTAACAGTTGATATCCTGCAGACTCAGGCTCACCAACTATATGGGCAGGTTGGTTTCAGGAGTCTTCGCTTTCTTGCTGAGAGCATCCAGGCTCCTGAAATCACAGCAAACCTCTGCTGTCACTGACCCACAATTTTATGTCACTGTCTTTTGATTTACAGATAACTTCACAGAGTTATTTGCTCCCTCTACTACTGTGAAAGGCATATGGAAGGAAGGCCCTCCTGTCCTCCAACAGCAAGGATGAACTCATCCACTGGCAACTCTATTGCCACACAGAGGTGACACGTCATATTATAAAAGCCCCACCTGGAGCTCCTCGCCTAGAGGCATAGGACCAATGATGACAAAACTAATGGTCTAAATATTTAGAAATCAACCAATATTAAGACTTCATTTTAAAGCACTACATCCTTTAAGGCGTGAAGCCACATCTTCCAGGATTCATAATTCTGACATTTTCTTGTTGTTTCTACTTTGATCACTGACACCAGCTGCTACATTGTTTAATTCCTGGCAGTTGAAAAATATATTCTATTGATGTTAATCCAAAAATGTAACAGATTAAGGTATTTTTCTGTTATCCAAAAGAAATGCTTTTAAATACTTTCAAATCTAAAACTTAGATTAAGAAAGATGACTAAGGTGTATTTTCTCGCCTTTGGAGCAAAACGCTAGTGAATAAGAATATGATAATTTGTTGAGTTTACTGAGATTCTTGGTTTTAAAGCTCACAGCTTAGAATATGTCTGGAGAGCACGGTAAAATGTGATGCTTTTAAATAAAATTATTCCAAGGTAAAAAGTCTGTTAAAACATACAAACAGACACACACACACAAAATAGATACCATAAAGAAATAGGAGAATAGCACTATTCTAATTAATACAGTAATACTCATTAGTCATGACAAAATTCAATGCTCAAAAATAATTCAAATTCTTGCTCTCTACATCAACAAAATTGTATGAAAATATTTTAGTGAAAAGAAATATTTTTGACTAAATTTTTCTGACTACATCAAAACTTATATTTTAGAAACAATAAAAGGCTTATTAATAATAATTAACTTAGCTTTGGACATTATAATGCTCAAAATATTTAAAATGTATCATCATTTACATGAAGATAACTATAGATCTCAATTACAAATTACATTTTGAAATATGGTACTTCCCCTTCATAAGTCAATAAAAATAAAACTGCAACTATTATAAAGTTTTTGAATGAAATCCCATACTAATTTTGTCAATAGCATTTCTATTCTCCACTTTCATAATTTCTATAAATTTTTCTATTTATTACAAGAAGTGCTGTATAAAGCAATGGAATTAATAAGTAATACAAATGATAAATACAATATAAAAATGACACGTACCCCATCTCTAAGTCTCTAAGCTTTATTCCATCTGATGAAGTTTAAGGTTTAAATTAGGCACAGAAATGGAAAAAGCACTACTGATACTATGAAGCTGCATGCTATGCACATTCTTCAGCCATATAAATGTTCTCCCAACACACACACACACACACACACAAACACACACACACACATCCTGAGTGGGATGGTTTATAAAAGCAGATAATGATTAAGTGGATAGTAATATAATATTGGATAGGAAAGATCTTTCTTACATTTGAAAGCAACAATAATTTATTAATTTAGCTATTTTGAGAAAATACTTTAAAATTTTTTCCAACTAATACATTGTAGGAAACATTTGTAATTTATATATGACAAGAAATTAACAAAAACCTCATAATAGACTTGTAGAAACATTAGCAAGTAGAATACATCAACAAAATTTAAAAATATAAACATAAATATCCATTCCCCAAATATCCAAAAGCAAATTATAGAAACAAGATATATGTGCAAACTTGTTAAAATGTATACCTTTTTTAACATCTTCATCATACTGAATTATCTGTATATATAAAGAGTGCATATTTCAGGCTGGGATTGTGGCTCAGTGGTAGAGCACTTGCCTCACACATGTGAGGCCCTAGGTTGGATCCTCAGCATCATATAAAAATAAATAAATAAAATAAAGTAGTAAAAGAAAACTTTTAAAAAGCGCATATTTCAAAAATATTTTCCTCTCATGAAATTTGCAAATTTCAAGAGATAGATGATATCCATCCTGTACAGATGACATGGTGTACTAATATATTGGTATCAGAAAACACTTTGGCCACATGTTTGATTTCATATGTAGATATGCAACTGTTTCAATCTTCAGGTGGAAAAATCAGTTATTACATGGACCACTATTTTTTAATGTAGTTCAAAAGCATATAAGTCTTCATTATTCTCTCTGTAAAAGGGAATTAAGTCAGTCTTACACAAAAACAAGTTGCAGAGTAATCCCAACCTGTAGCTCTCAATTAAAAATTACATGCCCAACTTCTAAAAGCACATTCCTTTATCCTTCACTTAAAAGAAAAACACTATTATCTAAGTAGCATTTTGTATTGTCGTCTGTTGAACTCCCTCAATGTATTTTTACACTTTGAAATTTATTACTTGTAAACACAGAAAGAAAATGAAAATGAAATATCAAAGTACCAGGACAACAAAAGCAAAAGTACCTTATAAATCTACTGAAAAGTGAGACATTGCTCCAGATGACTTGGTCTGTGCATGTTTCTTCATGCTGAGATCTAGAAAAGTTTAAGCCATCATCCAGGTGGCCTTCCTGGTGCATAATAGCCTGTAAGAATGCAGAAGTGATGCCTTCATTCTGGGAATCCCCTTCCCAAGCCAGTGTCAATATGATGTGCTCTGAAATCACTGAACAGGAACAGAAACAGAATCAAAAGGTAGGTGGAGGCATCCCAATACCATTGTGTTCAGATTAAATAACACACACAGCACCCTGTACAAACTAGCTTTCAATATATTCATTCAGTTATTATTTTACAAAATGATTCAATAAATATTGACTTGAATAAAACAAACAGCAGGGAATTTCCACATATCTACATTCAACAAATGATCTCTGGCCTCAGAAAACTGTGAACAAGCTTCAAAGGGGAGATTGCACTTTGCCTCCCACTCCTACAGCATCACAGGCTTCACAGCAGATCCCAAGAGGCTGACCAATCACCAAGCACCGAGCAATGCTTCTGAAGCCTTGAAGTTCAAAACTGAATATTTTTGTCAGCTCTTCTATTAGGCTCTATGTTTTAAACTTTCTATGAAATGGTAACATTAGGAGAAGTAAATGCATAAATCTGAAGTGCACAGTTCAATGAGCCTGAGAGTTTGCTCTCCTGCAGGGACACTTCCAACAAGGTAGCTCAGTATCAAAGAAAAATGACATTTCATAACATATGAAAATGGTATGAAATGCAAATATAATTACCCATGAATAAAACATTTAATTTTCATTATGAATATAGTCAACAATTCCGAATAAAATAAATACATACATATCTAGTAGGATTTCAAATAACAACACGTTATGGTCAACTACAGCTTATTCTATGAATGTAGGGATTTTTCAACAGTTGGGTATATGGGTAACTTATTTATCAATGAAACAAGGACCCTAAAACATGATTTTTATCTCCTGTAATTGAAAACAATTCAGCAATTATTGCTAACTTTTAAAAAGCTAAGTAAAATCAGATTAGCAAGAGACTATGTATATATAAAAATAACATGTTTTCCTAAGGATGCAAAACTTGTGACTTCTATGAATCAGGAGTGAAAAATGTCTCTGGTCAAAGAGGCAGGGGTAAATTTGGGAGGGAACGTTTGGCAACTTTCTTGGGGAAACTTAAGGAAAATGGAAATGTCTCACACGGAGGTATGTGTCTGGGAAGCCCCAGTGCAACCATCTGTCAAAACTCTACAGCTAAGCTTTGATGTTGAAATGTACAGAAAGTTTGCCCCTACTAAATGCAAATAAGGAACAACCAGAAGCTACTATGAAGGGGCAGAAAGATGAAAGTGCCATAGAAACAAAATGAGAGAATTGTTGATGGTGAACCATGGATTGTGCATCTTGCTACTTCTCTGTTTGTTATTTTGTCTGCCTGTATGTATTTAAATTTTTATAAAAAATCATTATGTCACTGCCTCTTCTCAATATCTTGGCTCTACATTCTGTTATTACCAATGACCTCACTTTACAAGCAAGGAAGCTGGAGTTCAAGGAGTGACATGACTTGCTCAGGTAGTTAGTTAGCTGCAGAATTGACATTAGAAGCCTTGGCTTCTGATTTTCCATTCATTTGGTGAATAATACCCTGTCAAATAAACTCTGTTATATAGTGAAAAATACAAGATGTACAACAACAAATGAAGACTCATAATCAAAGCCAAAATATGATACATGTAGAATTTGTATATGGAAATTTCCATGAATTAGTTCCATTTCAACTGGTTTCCAAAGACAGCTCCAGCTCAACTGTACATCTCCTGAGCAAATAAATGCATCACCTTGCAGCACACACATGCACATAACAAGGACTTGAAAGATTCTTATTTTACAAGCTGCACACCTGCAGTCTTCCAGAATTTGGCATGGTGACTGTTTCCATGCACATCAGCTAGGGGAAATGAGCACAGAAATGCTCAGGCCTTCCAGCAGCTGTGCACCAGCAGATGCTCCTTTTAACTTAACAGTACCTGCCAGTGACACAGAGCACTGTTATAGTTTCCCTGTCTTCATCGTCACCTTTCTCCATAGAGACAGGAAAACAAAGCCATGCTTCCTAGAAACATTTGAAAACTGGAACTGAAGGTGCTGGTAACCCAAGACACTTACAGCTACCTCAAAGCCACCCTAGTTCCACATTTATAGAGCATATAAATGCCGACTCATTCCTACTTAGGTACACACAAACAACATTTTGATTCATGTCACTGGCAATGCACTCTCTAGAATCCATGTTGTGCTTTCAATGTGCTCTATTTCTGAAATCACCCACGACAACTCAGATATTTCATGTGGGTATTCATGCAAAGCTCACAATGTCCCATTTTATAATTAATTTCTTTTCAACCTTAAAATAAAAGAATATTTTGCACTGGAATCCTTTACAGTTCTGTGGATTTCAATATTTTGTGAATTTACCCATAGGATTGTTGTTAAACAAAACTACAACTTACTAAATAAATTAAATATACAATTCCCTTATCAAAAAAAGTCAAAATCCTCCAATGATTAAACAAATTTTTCCCTTCATTTTCCCATTTCTGGCCCCTATACTTTGTCTATTTCTCCTTAACATGGCAAGCTTTCCTGATGTAATAATTTTCTTTCATGAATATAAAAATAGGTAATCACAATCTTTTTAATATAACCTTTACATTGAGCATAAAATAAAGACCAGGGATTGGAACTCCTGATAATACTGAGCTTACATTCTATTCATAGAAGAATCCAGACACAGGTGTGCTCTCAGGACCATGAACATACACTTCAATCAAGTGCATGAGGAAGGCTGCTTGAAAGACCTGGTAAGCACTTCCACTCAGGCCACTTCCCTTTCCTACTCATTGTTAATAACTCATCACATAGACGTACGGGTTTGTGCAACAGCAACTTTCCCAGAAAATTGGCAATATAACCCCTAAAGAGACCATCTCATTGTACTGTCCTTTATCACAACACTAAGCCCATGGTCCTACGGTGCACACTTACCAAGTATTGCTCAAAGGACTCGCTAACTAGGACGAGATCACCTCCAACCCATAGTTTCTCTCCTTCTGAACACTGCTTCAAGGCAGGATGTATAGTCCACCAACAGGCCTCATCTGCAGAGTGACAGGAGAGTGAAACACTGAGAAGTTGTCTTTTAACTTATAATCCATTTTATTTGCCACTGATTCTATTAACATAACTTTAGAAATGTAAAATTTTTATGCAAATTTCTCTCTTAGATCATGAAAATCTAAAGAACTTAGCCAATTTAGCTTACAATAAGACATACGGAAATGCAAAGTTTCTTCTGATAGAAACTGGGTACAACATTTTGAGAAGGTTGGAATCTCTCCCTTTCCCCCACTAAAAACTATTTAATATTTATATAAATTCACCTGAGACCAAATCTAGCAGCCACCCAGACCTGATTTCACTCTATGCAATCACATGTCATTCCCTGTTCACATTGCTCTTCTATAATAGCATCTAGCTTGGTGTTACTTTAGTATCAGAAGGACTTTGCAATGTGACAGTTTCCATTCTGATTATTTTGCTCTCCCAGGTTTAAGATACTTATTCAAAAAAGAATGCAAGTGTTGTCATCTACAATCTTACCATTCTGTCCCATTTTTGCTTGCTTTATTGTTGTTTTAAAATGTAGTTTCTGGGGATGCAACTGTGCCTCAGTGGCAGAGTGCTTGCCTCACATATAAGAGACACTGGGTTTGATCCTCAGCACCACATAAAAATAAATAAATAAATAAATAAATAAACAAATAAAAGTATTGTCTCCATCTCCAAGTAAAAAAATATTTTAAAAAATGTAGTTTCTGTTAATCTCAGAGTATAAAAGGATTCCTACTATATAAGGAAGGATTGTGAAAAGACCCAGTTACACATTAAATCAAATAGCATCTTCTAAATGAGTCAAGCATAACCACAGACCAGGTGCATTTATCCTACTTCAGCATTACTGCTGAGGTTACAGTGTAGGCACATCATCCTTCAATCTGCCAAGACCTGAAGGGAGGTTCTCTCCATATCTATTAGCTAACAATTATCATCTTCCCCCTTCCACAGGTTTTTTTTTTTTTTTTTTTTTACTTTTCTATAACACATTTCTTCTTCCTTACCCGTGGATACTATAATGTAAGGCCCCTAATAGCCAGAACTTTGCAATATTTTATTTTCTGTGGTCTTCCCAGCTCCTAACAGCATACTGTAGCCACTCAACATAATCTGCATGAATGAATAAATGACTAATCCAACAATATTTCTTAAGAATCCTTATAGTTAATATGTATCTTGTGCCTCAAGCTAATTTTCTTACACAGTCTTAATTGCAGGTCACCTGGCAGAATTCCTTATCTTTATTCATCACGTACACATTTTTAGAGTTGTAGATAATTTTTCACTCACATACACAAACATTTACAGTAACTACTATTTGCCAATCACTGCTCCACTACAAAATAAATCACCAGCCTAATCACCCTAATCACCTTCCTGTCTTCTGAACAGGAACCATTTTAGCACATTTAGTAATGTGCTAAAATATATTAAGTGAGAAAAATAAAACCTTAAAAAATACAGAAGAATTACTGAGCCTATAGAAAATGAAATAAAAATGAGAAAGCCTAGCATTCTCAGAATGTATTAATTAGGTTCATAAATATAGCTATTTGTCCATTTGTTGTTTATGAATTTAGAGAATATGGGAAACTATTTTAAATGTGTAGCTACATGATGTATAAAATGTAAAAATAATACATACTAACAGGGTACCATGTGATATTTTGATACATGCAAATGATCTGCAATGGTCACATTAGGTTAAAGAACACCTACATCCTCAAACATTTCCTCTTTGTTTATGGTGAAAACATGTGGAGCATTTTCTTCTAGCTTATTGAAATATATCAAACATAACTGGAACCAAGACTCACACTATTGTCCAATAACATTCCACAATGTGTGTTAAGGTTCTGCTTTGTTTATTTCAACAGCACCAGGGACTGAACCCAGGACCTTTCAAACACTGAGCAAATGCTCCACCATAGAGCTAAACCCAGAACCTACCAGAAAGCATTTCTGGAATGAGTGAGAGAATGGACTGAGTCCTCTCCTGAAAGGAACAAAGATGGACTACTTCCTTCCATTCTGTTTTCTACTTGGTCTCATGTTTTTTAATTACAAAAGTCATGCAAACTCTTTGTAAAAGATTAAACAGCCAAACTGTACAGAGGTTTATAAAATAAGTGTAAAGTCCTCAGAGAACTGAGAAGAGTTCTCTTATTTTGACTTTCCAAAAGAAAAGTGTGTTAATATATACCTTTTTGTTTCAAAAACATGGAAATGCACATATCCTTAGATAGATATTCAACACAATGCCCTATGGGCAGAGGAATGAAGGAGGTTTTCATTCTCTACTCTCTGTTTGAATGTTGACATTGAATATCTTACATGTGTATACTTAAAATCTGATTAAAATGAGAGATATGTGGTGATATTTTATAAACTAACCAGTGAGCTGGATAGTAAGTACTAGTTTTACCCTCCAAACTCATGAAAGAATAGAGTTTGAAACCTAGCTTGAATATCCAACTAATTACATTAGGAAAAACAGACACTTCCTCACTATATCAAAATGTCAAGTAAGAAAGAATTTTTTCCTGACTCTACCCCAAGGACACTGTTCTAACGTATCTCCAATGGCATCTTATACAATCATCCAACCCAAACCCAGCCAGGCTATCCACTGTCCGCAAGTCCTCACCTGTGGTGTCCTCATGCAGGCCAATGTCAAAAGCTTATCAGTTAAAGAGCACCAGGAGGAGACGCATAACAGATACTAAAAACACAGAACCAGTGCTGGGGTTGTGGCTCAGTGGTAGAGTGCTTGCCTAGCATGTTCAAGGCCCTGGGTCTGACCCTCAGCACCACATAAGAATAAACAAAGCTATTGTGTCCAAGTAAAAAATAAATATTAAAAAAAAAAAAAAAACAGAACCAGAAGTAGTTGCTCAAGATTTATAGTCACGGTGGAGTCCTGGTTCTGCAACTGATTTGATATGTGTGTCTCTCTCTTCTGCTTAGCCTTTTTCTTAAAATCTGGATGCCTCTGCACAAAGCCCAGGTTTTTAACGTCTGAAGCAGAACAGCCCTAGCACAGCATTCATTAGGAGTGATATTCTAAAGGTAATATGTCTTTTTTCCCTCATCAAAGATTAAGGAAATGTTCTGTGTCACAACAACACAAGTAACTGGGGATGTGTTTGTACATCTCTCACTTCATGTGATATTCATGATCCCCAGCTAGAGCACAGCGTGGTCTGACAGTGATAACCGGCTCCCTAGCAGAAATTGAAAAACTATTCAATTTTATCTTCTAGTTCTGTTTTCCCCTCATTTTTTTAACTCTCTGAAATCCATCCAGAATTGCTTGATTTTGGAGTACACCATGACACTTTACTTTAAATGAAGTTTCACTGTGCATGTGTTTCCCTAGGAGGAATTGGACTCTCTCCATACTATCGTCACCCCCCCACCCCTAGGTTTCCCTAACTATGTTCATAAAGTTTAGGGTCATTTTTCAGGCCAACTCTCCTACCCCTACTCCAACTCCAAGCACCTTGTTAAGTGCTATAAGAAAGAGGACACAAAATGAATGTAATACGAGCTTGCAGTACACCACCATCTGCACAAAGCACGCTCACAGCCAGTAATAACAGGACCCTGTGAAGAGGACACAGAGATAGTTCTGGGGATTAGGAAAGGCCAGGCCTCTACCCAAAAGCTCTGGACAATTAATGCAAAGGATATAAAATTCCCATTATGGAATAGGGCCCATCCAGCTAAATGGCAGCCAGTGAGTGTGTGAAAGCAGGAGATGAACTGATTGGGGGAAGTCAGCACCATAGGGATATGCCATCCACTTGACCTGGAGACCCCTACTGGGCCTGCTGACTATGAAGCACAGGCTCTCATGGTTATAAAAGAGGCTTCAAGGGTCTCCAAACCTGTATTGAGTCAGCACAGGACTGTGTGTCTGACCTGGAGACAGGCAGCCCAGAGGGATCCCTGAAGTTCACAGACTTCAGATACGAACTGTGTTAAATGTCTGTTTTTATTATAGAAAAAGTAACAACTTTACAATACTTCCCAGATGAAAACAAGGTGATGCCTGTTGAAGTCATCTGTGATTTTCCTCAACAATATTACAGTCCTCAGCACTGCAGTTATGAACGGACATACTCTGTTCTAGGCTTCACAGTAACACTGAGGTAGATGCTATAATCATCTTACTAACTTCATTAACTTCCATGGAGACTCAGACTTGGCCTATTTACTCTGTACTTCACACCTAGGATAATGCCTAGAACACAAAATTTGATCAAGCAAAGTGATTAAAGGACCCCCAAAAATTTTCAGACACATTTAAAGTTTTAAAAAACTCAGCAAATTATCCCTGGTTGTGTGGTAGCAAAGCATAACTGTACTCAGACCTCAACACCAACATGCAGAGTAGACTCAACTCTAAGATGCTGTTAATGCTAAAATGCAGAGTAACCTCAGTTTAGCCACCACCGAGTGTGCAGGGTATAGCTCCTGAGTCAACAGATACCTGTAACCAGATAGCTGTCAGGTCAATGTTGATCCAGGATTCTTTTTCATGGTTTTAACTAATTTGTACTTGGGCATGAACTTTAATGCAATTCATATAAAAAAATCCCAATGACAATTCTTCACAGAACTAGAAAAAGCAGTCATGAAATTCATTTGGAAAAGTAAGAGACCCAGAATAGCCAAAGCAATCCTTAGCAAGATGAGTGAAGTAGGACACATCATTATAGCTTAAAGTGTACTACAGAGCCACAGTAACAACAACAGCATTGTATCAGCACCAAAACAGATGTGTAGACACATGAATGGTACAGAATAGAAGACACAGAGACAAACTCACAAAAACACAGTTATCTCATACTAGACAAAGGCACGAAAAAACATACATTGGAGAAAAGAAAGCCTATTCAACAAATGATGCAGGGAAAATTGGAAAG